AGCAAAAGTGATCCTAACGAGGACAAAGGCCCGAGTTCATCTGCTAACTTGCCAGGAGGCTCCACTTCCTGCTTCTAGGAAGCTGGCTACCTGGTGACTTGAGCCTTGAACCCAACGTTCACATTCTGTGAAAGGCCCAGAGCATGGTGGGAAGCCGGGAGGCTCAGACCCTGCACGTTGAGACAGAGCATGAGGCCCAGGCCCTCGGCTGAAGAACCTCCCCAGCCAGGCCCCTCCCACATTTCTGACCCACAGGATCATGGGAAAAATTCTGCGGATGCTTAGTGCTTTTTGGCGTTAGCTTATTCCGTGGCCGTAGTTCTTTAGAGCATTGATCCACACCTAATAATGCCCTTTGACCTAAGAACTACAATTCTATGCATCTAACAAATGCACAAAACCCACAAAAACGCGCACAGTAGCACTAATAGTACAAGACTGGAAATAGTCCCCGCCTCTCCCACGGGCACAGTGGATAAGTTAGTTCTAGCACATTTGCTTAATGACTCACAGAAACCTGCTGAAGTCGAGGGAAAAGCAAAGTCCAGGGTGGCCGAGAGTGGCCAAGAGCACAGAGTCTGGCTCTGCCATCTGTGGGCTGGGGGACTTGGGGAAACTGTTTAACTGGGGCAAGAGAATTCTTTTTGGTAGTGGGGATTGAATCCAGGGCCCTCCCACTGAGCTACAACCCACACCATTATTTATTTATTTATTTATTTATGGTACCAGCAGTCGAACTCAGGGCCTCGTATTTGCCAGGCAGGCACCACATCCCTGGCTTATTTATTTATTATTTATTTATTTTTGGTACTGGGCGTCGAACTCAGGTCCTTGCGCTTGCGAGGCAGGTACTAGAAGCACTGAGCTAAATCCCCTGCCCTTTATTTATTTGTTTTTGAGAAAGGATCACAATAAGTATCTCAGGCTGAGCTTGAACTTGTGATCCTCCTGCCTCCCCAAAGCCTCCCAAAGTAGACTGTTTTTGAAGTGGAATGGTGTTGCGCTTCCTGTTCTGATTCTCCCTGTCTCTTAGAAATTCATCCTACCTCAGCACATGCAGATCCACTGCATCTTTTTAACAGCTGCCTGGCTTTGCATTGTGTGTCTACACCATCCTTTATCTTGCCATAGGGCCGGGAATTTAGCCCAGAGGTTCGGTGGCCTGCCTCGCAAGCGCAAGGACCTGAGTTCGATCCCCGGTACCACAAACAAAAAACAAAAAACAAAAAAAACTTGGTTCTTTAGCTTGCCATCCTCAAGGGATGGATGCTTGGGTTGTTTCCAGTTCTCTGCTCCAGTTACAAAAAAACACAACCAGGGGACAACCTTGCTCATTTACCTTTGCTCGGTTCCTGCTCCCGGTGGTACAGTCTTAGACCCAGAGTTGTTGGCCTGTGTGTATACACACTGAAAACAGTTCTGGGAGTGTGTCCAACTGTTTCACCAGGCGGTCTCATCTGTGCTTCTACTCTTTCTTTCCATAACCTTGCTGTCTGTTTTTATAGGTTTATTTTTTCTTAGTACCATTTTCCCAAGTCTGATCAGGCTGTATTTTTGTTTGCTTTTGTTTTTAAGACAGGATCTCTCACAATGTAGTGCAGGCTGGCCTTATATGCACCACGTAGCCCAGGCTGGTCTCAAACTCTAGCAATCTGCCGGCCTCAGCCTTCTTAGTGCTGGAATTACAGGTGTTCTCCACGGGCCCAGCGGTGTGCCCCCTCCTTCCAGGGGTCCGAAACCAAGACCCCACGTGCCGGCCTACCCTCTTAGAATGTGCTGGACCTAGCCCTGCTCTGGGACCCGGACCTCCTCACTAGCCCGCCTACCCTTCACAGTGTCAGAAGTTGGTCCTTTAAAAGTTCACTTCTCCTCGAGGGCTCCTTCTTCAAGGGAGGCCCCGGCCCGCGTGGCCCAGGTCAGAAGACAGCCTGTAGGTTTGGGTATCCCTCTTCCCTCCCTTCCGGTCCCCATAGCTGTCTTGCAGGGTGGGGACAGATTCCTGGGTGAATTTGGTGTTCCGGGGCAGGCTGCTCCCGGGGCTCTGGCTCCCCCGCGCGACAACCATGGGAACTGCACGATCCCATGGGCGCCCCGCCATTCCGGGTCTGGTGAGTCTGGGGAGCAGCCGGAGGGCTCTCCATGCTCCCAGTAGCAATCGGCTGCGTCCTCCGCACTGAGTCCCTGCCCTGTTTTCTGAGATTCTCCTCCAAATCAATTTGCTTTCTGGCAAGAAAGTTTCCTCTTTGAGTCTGGTGACCCAGAGACTTGGGACAGCCTGCCTGAGCATACAACAGCTGCAGGGCTTACTGAGCTCGCCTTTGGAGAGTCACACAGAGGCTGCTATCAACTCCCCTCTGCTAGCCGTGTGTTGCTAGGCGAGCTGCTAACCTCTCTGAATCTTGCTGTCTCCACTGTAGAAATGGTGCTTCTGTGTAGCATTCGCTCCACGGGGTTGTCGAGGTGATTAAATGGGAGAGGTGGAGAGCAAGGACAGGCACCACCACCATACCGGGAACCCAGGGTCCACTGAGACTGTATTTCTAAATAACCCTATAAGAAAGCAGCAGCCACAGAGGAGGACACAGAGGGACAGAGAGAGGAGTGGTTTGTGCTGGGTAGCACAGTAGAGGGTGGCAGAGCTGTACAGGGCGCATGAAGGCAGGGAAACAGCGCTGGAGGCCAGGGTGGCCCTGGTCTCTGAGTTAGGACAGCACCCAGGGCCCTGAACACCTACTCGCTCCACCTCCTCGGGGCCTGGCACTCACGGGCAGTTTCTTCCCCTAGCATTGTTTATAACATCTGCCATCCAGACTTACAAAATATGATGGAAAAGTACAATGAATGTTCAAGCTTAAAATTTTTATTACAGTAAAAGACACCTTGCCGTGAATCCTCCTCAGTCTTTTATCCTAGCATTCTTGCCTCTTTCTGAAGCAGTTCTAAAGTTCTCTCTCATGAGGGTCTTTAAGGGTACTGTTGTGGCTGCAGGATGTCCTGAATCCGTCAAAATGTTTCCCTTTCATGGTCATTTTGACTTTGGGAAAGAGCTGGAAGTCACACAGCGCCAGATCTGGATGAGGACACAGCGCCCTGTTTTAGCGAGCCTGCCTTTCTGTTGGATCACATTGTGCAGCCAACATGCACCATAGCTTTGATGGGACTTTGTAAAGATGCTCAGGAAAGAGGACTTCCAGAACAGCTTCAGAAAGTGGGCACCAGAACAGCTGGGCAGGGCGGTGGGAGTTCAAGGCCAGCCTGAAACACAGAGCAAGACCCTGTCTCAAAAAGAAAAAAGGGCTGGGGATTTAGCTTAGTGGTTCTGTTGCCTGCCTCACAAGGGCAAGGACCCCAGTTTGATCCCCGGTACCAAACCAAACCGAACCAAACAAATGTGCCAAGAACTCTGGGATGTTTTCAAAATGAGGAGTGTTTTGAGGGGAATTAATGACAACGTACACTTCCTTGTAATAAATTTTAAAAAATTAAAAAAATTTTAATGCACATGGGATTTTTCCATCAGCCCTTATATTTTCTTACAAAGACAGAGGGCTTCTCCTCTGTGAGCTTCTCCCATGAGACCCCTTTAAGCAGAGGGGACACCAGGGCCATGTCTGGGGCCCACACGTGGGCACAGGACAAGCACATATCTTCCAACACACTGTCTGCCTGTGTGCACCTTCTGCCTGTTGCCAGAATATGCAGCGAGTGCTGGCTTTGCCACCTTCTTTTGACCATGAACTGTTCCTTCTCTGTGATGCCTCTCTGCCATGTCACCCTGCTGTGCAGCCAGCTGACTAAAAACTGAAACTTCTCTGAACTGTGAGCCAAATAAATCTTGCCTTCCAAAAAAAAAAAAGCAATGAATGAGTCATAGGGGCAGGGCAGCTTCGGAGGAGGGCCTGTGGGATTGTGGCTGTGCTGTCCTGATAGAGTCCTCCTGGCTGGCTTCTTGTCTTGGGGTCCAGAGGTCTGGGATCCCACTATCCCCAAATCTAGAGGCTGTAAGACCTGTAAACCTCAAATGCAAAGAAAAGACAGAAACATCCATGTGGGTCTGAAATATGACTTTTTCTGACCTGTTGAATGTGTCTTTAGGTTTGTTTGCGTCTTTGCAAACTCTTATGTTGTGTGTATGTGTTTTAGAGATTACTGGTATTGTGTTGTGGCCATGTTTCCTTACAGCCACAGGCGATCACATCAGTGCTGCCACGAGCACTGTTGGTCCCTGGCCTCCAGTGCCATCTGTGCTGAAATTCACCCATCCGCCCTCCCAGGGATGGGCTCACAGGTCGCCTCCAACTCCTGACAACCACAAAACAACACATCAACTAACATCCCCCCCATATGTCCCTCTGTGGGCCTGAAAGAAAATTCGGGGTGTCTATATGCAAGATCTGCATTGTGGGGTCACAGTCCCCTGGTGTAAATTTCTTCCTTCCTGTACACTGGTTTCCAGAATGACAGCCCCAGCCTACCTTGTGCACAGCTGGGATGCTGCAAATTGTCCACTGGCATTTGGCATCATTTGAGTCTCTGACTTTATTTTATTTGGTGGGGGGCTAGGGATAGAGGTCAGGGCCTTTACACTAAGTTACATCCTCAGTTCATTTTTCATTTTTTGGGACAGGGTCTTGGCTAAATTGATAAATTCCCCAGACTGGGCTTGATCTTGAGATCCTCCTGCCTCAATCTCTTAGAGTACTGGGATTACAGGCCTGCACCTAGGGGCTTGGCTATGGTTTTCTAATTAAAAAAAACAAAACAAAACAGTTTCATTGTTTAGGTGACAGCTCATTGTCATTTTAAGTTTTTTTCTTTTTTTTCTGATCACAAGTGACCCTGACCTCCTCTCCTGCCCTTGGCTGGTAGGCCCGTGGGGAGCTGCTTAAGGCCTGGGGGGGGTCTGACTTTTTGCTCCGGGGGGGTCTGGGGGACCAAGGCCATTGAGTCCCAGGTGGGCGGGGCTGCCGGGGCCTAGAGGCTGGGAGAGCTGGGGGGACTGCACAGGGGACCCTCGGGACTTTAGGGCACGCAGGTGAGGGCGGAAGAGGAGCCTGGGTCTGGAGCCAGCGGAGACGAGCCCGAGCCGCAGCCGAGGAGGCCGAGCAGCTGCCTTCCCAGGCAGTGGGGACCGCGGGGCGAGGGATGGAGGCGGCGCTGACCGGCGACACCCAGGGCCGTGAGTGTGCAGGGCTAGGGAGCGGGTGAGGCTGGCGGCGCGCGGACCCTGGCGGCGCGTCTGGGTGTTGCGGGAGCCCGGGGGCTGCGGAGAGGAGAGGAGAGGAGAAAGAAGATGGTGATAGCGTCCTCGCTGAGCCTTGCTGGAGCATGGCGACCTGAGCTGCCGCCCTGCAGGTGGGACCTGCCCGCATCTCCATTTTGCAGAGAAAAGCGGAGGAGGGGCGGCCAAGTGAAAGAGACGCTGAAGACCCAACTCCATCCCAGAGCCCGTGTCAGTGGTGGTGGTGGGCCCTGAAGCCTAGGAGAGGGGTGCTGTGCGGGCTCCAAGTGGGCTGAAGCCTCCTTCGCCAGCTCTCAGCCAGTTCGCTGTTGCCAGGGCTCTTGGAGTGGGCCCTGCATCCCGGGGACAGCAGCTGGTCTGGGGTGCTTTGGCTGCTCTGCGGGGGAGCAGGGGAGAGGCCCGCAGAGCCAGAGTCCCAGTAGTGAATCCTCCATCCTCCAGCCCTGACAGCTGAGCCCAGGGCTCCCCCAAAGTCCCCAGGGTACAATCACAGGGAGCAAGCAAAATGCTTCTTCTCCTTGAAGGATGGGGTTGGGGGTGGCCTGCTTATCACCTGCTGACCAATCCCAAGGGTCTCAGAGGAGCCTCAGGTTCAAAGAATGAGCAGCCGTGGTGCCTGGGAGCTCGGAGGGAACTGTGGGCAGAGGACACAGCCTGGGGAAAGGCTGTGGGCCGGAGAACGAAGCACACATTTCGGGGGCCTGGGATGGTGGAGAAGAGACAGGAGGTCTCTGAGCAGTGGCTGCTCACTCCCCTGGGGCCCCAGATCCTTTGCCAACACAAGCCAGGCTGCCCCCAGGCTTCAGCTGAGCTAGTGGGTGTCAGAATCCTGACATTGCCCTCCTGGAGTTTTACAGCCTAGGAAACTGAGACCTGAAAGAGGGATGTGCCTAGCTCCTGCTGCAGGAAACTAGCAAAGCTCTTTTGAACTTGGATTGGTGTGGTTTTCAGGCAAAAGGTTAAGGAAGGAAAAGCACGGGACAAACCAGGTGTACTGGCACACATGAGTAGTTTTAGCACTTTGGAGACTGAATCAGTAATGTCAAAAGTTTGAAATTGGGACCAGGGATTTAGCTCAGTGGTTCTGCTGCCTCCCTAGCAAGCACAGGGTCCTGAGTTCGATCCCCAGTACAAAAAAAAAAAAAAAAAAAGTTTGAAACCAGCCTGGGGCATTTCAGAGAGAATCTGTCTCAAAAAGGATTGGGGTTGGAGCTCAGTGGTAGAGTTCCCCTGGGTTTGAACCTCAGCACTGGGAGGAAAACCCAAAAACACAGGACACATGCTTGCTGCAGGGGGTTTGGAGCTGAGAGGGGCTCTTTTTGTTTGTCTTGTTTTGTTTTTTGAGACACTGTCTTGATTTGCAGCTCAGGCTAGGTTTGAACTTACTTTGCAGCCCAGCCTTGAACTTGTAGGGATCCTCCTGCTTCAGCCTCCCACACCCAGCTGAGTGGGGCTCTTTTAAAGCCTGCTGTGTTCAGAAGTTTCCCTCCTCACCTCCAGGTTAGGCAGGGCCACCAGTGGGAACTACTCCAGAAGGCCCCCTCCCCTGAAATGGGGCCCTGAAGCTGCTTCCTCTTGGAACCTCTTTCCTGCCTTTCCTTGAACTTCAATTTAGCTTTTCTAGGGGACTTGAAGGCCTCAACTGGGACAGCATCTGATGGTTCAAACCCCCATCCCAGGAGTTGAATGAGTTGCTTATTAATTCAACAGATATGTGCTGAGGCACGGATTCGGGAAAACTGCAGGTCACAAATCAGACAAAAGTCCCTCTTCTTGTGAGCTTGTGTAGAATGGAGCAAGTGCACAGCACGACTCTGTAAATAGAGTGTGTGCCATAGCATCTAGGGAAACACAGTGCGAGGGGAGGAGGGAGTGTGTGTCCCTGGTGTGGGCTCTGCTGCCTTGGGGGCCCCTATGTGAAGGAGGCTTCAACATCCCCAACTCTGTGGCCAACACATATTCCCGATGCAGTCTCCACAGTGCTAGTTACTCATGCGTGCCGCCACACCTGGTTTTTCCTGTGCTTTTCCTTTCTAACCCTTGACCTTGGAGTCAGAGTAGTATTCGTTTGGGGCCCTATTTCTTTTTCTTTTTTGGTAGTTGAGACTGACCTGGAACTCACTATGTAGCCCAGGCTGGTCTTGAACTCAGAGTGATCCTCTTGCCTCAGCCTCCCAAGTGCTGGAATTACAGGTCTGCACCACCACGCCCCACTGGGGTCCTATTTCTAATCATTATAATAACTCTCCTTCCCTTGCAAATGTGGAAATTGAAGCCCCAGATAAAGAACTAAGCTGAGGCGCACAGCCAGGAGGATGTGGTTCAGCATCACATGGGCCTGAGACACCAGGTTGTTTCTAGGAAACCTCAGATCCTCTTCTGCATCTGGAAAAGCAGGCAGCATCACAGCACTGTCACTTGGGTTGTCGTGGTCCTCTCTGCCAAGACCCTGGCCACCCGGCCCTGGGTACAGACATTCACAGTAGCCAAGCTGCAGGATGTGGGTCTGGCAGTCGTGAGGACGTGAGATGACCCACCCCGTAGAGACTGCAAAGGGCAGGCAGATGCTGGACATGGGTGCTCCTTGTGTCTGAGCCCTTCTGGCTACTCTGGCCTTGCTCCGGGCTGAAGCACAGGTAGCCTGGCTGGCTCCCCTGGAACCCAGTGATGGAGTAGCTGCTTCCTGACCCCCTTGCCAAAGCTGCTTTGGAGAAGTGTGGGGCTCCTTTCCCTCACCGTGCGCCCGCCTTCCACAGTGCTTCCCCTGGAGAGGCAGCTGCATGAGGCCGCCTGGCGGAACCAGGTTGGAAGGATGAAGGAGCTGATTGCAAGAAGGGTTAACGTCAGGGCCCGAAACCATGTAAGTCACGGCTCCCACGCGGGTAAGGCCCTGTGGCCCATCTGAAAGGCACACTTGAGGGGCAAAGGCTGGGGCCTGTGGGGGACCCAGGGGCTGGGGACCAAGAAAAGCCGGAATCTGGGACTCAGCAAGTGTGGCAGCAGCATGGCTCAGCCCCCCCCAGACAACCACGGGAGGGAAGCTTAGTGAGCCCAGGCTGCTCCCCAAGACCGGGGAAGTTTCTGGGGGCAGGGGCTGCAGCTCAACTAGGGAAGGGGGCAGAAGATCTCTCAGCTAGAAGGAGAAGCCATTGCTTCTGGGGGGTGGGGCACTGGGGCTAGGCGTGGTCAGGGACTTCCTGGGGGCTGTGCCTTCAGGGCTCTGAGGCAGCAGAGGCTGTGCTGGCTGGGGTGACAGGATGGGGTGTGGGAGGGAGCAGGGACTTCTGAGCCTGTTTGGGGCTGGCAGTAGGGACAGGAGCTCTGGATGTGTTGGCTGGATTGAGTTCAGAGCACAGTGCACCGGTTTGCTGGTGGCTCCTGCATACCCTGGAGAGGCCAGGAGGGCAGGAAGTATCAGCTCCGTGCTGCTCTACTTGTAGCCCAGGGAGACACAGCAGGAGACGAGGGTCACCTTAGGTCACACAGTGGCTGTTGGGGGCTGAAGCCTTGGTCTCTACTGGAAGCATCTGCTAGAAAGCACAGCCCTGAAGGACGACAGGGTACGGACACCACATTCGTTCCTTCATTCACACGCTCATAGCTCTGGCGTTGCCTCCATGTGCTTGGTGCCCAGCACTGCACCACTGGCTGGGGACAGAACAGCCCCTCACATGTGGTCTCTGCCCCGCTGGTGGCCTGGCTGTGGGGATGGACAATAAGCAGAGAGTCTCATAGTGCATTGTCACAGGATGACATGGAAGGGCCAGAGCCTCCAGGCAGCCCCAGGAGAAAGGCTGTGGCCAGGCAGAAGGAACAGCGTGGGCCGTGGCCCCGAGGGAGAAGGAACAGTGGGTGGAGTAGGGATGAGACACAGAGAATCAGTTTCCTTCTATTGATTGCTCCTAAGCTGACAAGTATGGAGAGCAGAAGCAGGCTGGCTTCCTCTCTGGTCACTCAGATGTGGCAAGGACCAGTGGCCATGACAAATGAATAGAGAGGTTGAAGACAGGGTGGGCAGTCAGCTTCTCAGGTGTCCTTTGGGGACTTGGAAAATAATCGTAGGACACAGGTGGCTGCCAGGCAGGAATAAAGATGTATAGGCAGGAAGTTGTCCGGCACTCGTTTTTTTTTTTTTTTTTTTTTTTTTTTTTTTGGTGGTGGTACTGCGGGTTGAACCAGGGCCTTTGCATTGAGCTACATCCTCAGCCCTTTTTATTTTTATTTTGACAAAGGGTGTCACTGAATTGCCTAGGCTGGGGTCCAACTTGTGATCTTCTTGCTTCAGCACAGGTGGGAGCCATGGTGGGCAGTGCCAGGCCAGGCAGATCCTCAAAAGACCTGGGTCGAGCTGCCTGTCCCAAGGGCAGAGGCCCTGCCAGCCTGCAGGCCAGCTGTACAGACAGCCATGTGGTGGGAGGGTGTGGGTGGAGGGCCGTAGTGGGGGCAATGACGCGGTCTCTGTCCCTTCCGCAGGTGGGCAGAGTGGCCCTGCACTGGGCCGCAAGTGCAGGTCACGAGCAGGCCGTGCGGCTGCTCCTGGAACACGGGGCTGCTGTGGACGATGCAGATGCGGTAGGTGGCTCGCAGAGGCCTGTGTGTGTGGGTGTGTGTCTGTCTGTCTGTCTGTGTCCAGACAGGGTAGAGGTGCCCGAGGTCTCTGGGCCTATGAGCCAGTCATTGAGACTCCCTGGTACACAGGTGCCAGGCGCCGGCTGGCGGAGAGTCAGTCATCAAGGGCCAGGGATGTCGCGCTGATCCTGCTTTTCCCTGGAGTGGTAATAGAAAGCCCTCTGTGAGCAGGGCCTCTCCGTTCTGAGAGCCCTTCCAGTTCCTTGTGGTATCCTGTGAGCAAAGAGCACTATGGACTTGCGGCATGGGTAATGGGGTGGATGGATAAAGGCCTGGCAGGGAAAGTCACCAGGAGCAAGGTCTGTCCTGATTGATAGGCCACAGGCCGTCCGGGCCAACACTGAACCATGACCGGCACAGAGATCTTCGTACTGAACAAATCTTGGACAGAGTGAGCACTGAAGACAGGGTCTGCAGCATCAGCTCTGTCAGCCAGGCACTGAGGTACACACCTGTGATCCCAGCTTTCTGGGAGGCTGAGTCAGGAAGATTCTAAATTTGAGCCCAGCCTGGACAGTTTAGGAAGATCTTGTCTCAGTGCAAAGTCTCTGAGTTTTATCCTCAGTATTGGAAAAGGAAAAAAAAATTGGCTCTACAGGTTTGGGGAAAAGGCTTAATTTGACAGTGATATTTGATAAAGATACATTTTAAAAATCTTGGGCTGGGGGTGAAGAGATGAAGACTGAGCAACTGCACTGCCGACTTCAAGCAGCAGTGGACTTCACACAGAACCTGGGAGCAGGAGAGTCTCTTCTCTCATCCCTCTCCTGGTTACGAGTCACAGGAACTTTTCTTCAGTGAGATGTTTTTGATCTTCAGCTACAGTTTTTGTCCTTGTCAACAATCTTTTCATTCACCACATGATGGCTAGCAATGTTACCAACAAGACAGAGACTCGCTCTGTGGATTTCTGTGTGTTCACTGGAAATCTCAACACTCTTGAGGTAGAGAAATCCCACGTGGAGGCCATGTTCCCCGAGTACGGCAAAACTGTGGGTTGCTCCGTTCAAAAAGGCTTTGCTTTTGTCCGGTACGTTCATGAGAGAAATGCCCGGGCTGCTGCGGCACGGGAGGATGGTGGAATGATTGCCGCCCAGGTTTTAGATACTAACCTGGCTGCAGACCCAAAAGTGAACAGAGGAAAAGCAGGTGAAATGATCCGAAGCAGAGACGTACGGGTCAGTACCAGAACACCCCTCTCCGTCCCCTATACTCGACTCCTCTTCTGACTTGGACTATGACTTTCTTTCTTTTTTTGGTACTGGGGATTGAACTCGGGTCCTTGCGCTTACAAGGCAGGCCACCGAACCGCTGAGCTAGATCCCCGGCTGGACTATGATTTTCAACGTGATTATCATGACAGGATGTGCAGTTACCCACCACGTGTTCTCCTGTTGCTCTGGCTGTAGTGCCCTCAGCACGCCAGCGTGTAACAGGAAACACCTCATGAAGGGCAAAATCGGCTTCGATTCTAAGAGTGGACTATGGGGATCTTCTTCCGAGTCTGCAGAGTTGAAAGGTGATGACCTTCAGGCCATTAAGAAGGAGCTGACCCAGATAAAGCAAAACGTGGACTCTTTACTGGAAAGCCTGGAGAAAGCTGAAAAGGTGCAGAGCAAACGAGCTGTAGAGATGAAGCATGATAAGTCAGAAGAGGAGCAGACCAGCACCTCCCGAAGAAAGGCGAGACCCATGTGAAGATGGAGCCCGACGGCGCTGCAGACCGCTCTGCTGAGGAGAGACCGAGGAAGGAGAGGATGACAGAGACAGTGCCGATGGTGAGGATGACTCTTGAGCGTATGGTGGGGTGTACAAGTCTTGTCCCATTCTTTCTTTCTCTTCGGTACCGGGGATTGAACTTGGGTCCTTGTGCTTGTAAGGCAGGCGGCTGCACCACTGAGCTAAATCCCCAGCCTGTCCCATTATTTCTTTACCTAGGCTCTTGTCTAAGGTCAAAAATTGACCAGATCCTTTCCCTTAGTGGCCTTCAGCACATGCTCACTGTTCTTTGTTCTTCCCATGGTCATAATTGCCCTGCGCCTGGCCCCATTTTCCCTTCCTTTGACGCTCCTAGTGGTCTTGTTGTCTTATCCTGTAATTTTGCTTTTTAATTTTGATGCCGCTTTACGACTTAACAATAAAAGGTTGAACAGTTTTCATCAGCTGTCTCCACCATAATTTCTCCTGCTGCAGGGAGTACAGTTATTTCCGTTCATGCATGGTTTCAGAAGTTGCTTCCCTAACTGCAAAGGCAATTTCATGTAGTTGTAGCATCTAGAGAGCAGCTCTGAGTTAGAAGTACGTGTGTTTCCCCACATCAAGTACTCTGTGGGGAAATGTGTAACCATGTATTTTTGGATTAACAATGAGAGTTGGCAAGTCAAATTGATCCCCTAGAAAAATTTGTGTGATAGTCTTTTTTTGTTTTCTGAAATTGATGCTTTGGGTTATTTTTGTGAACAGCCTGATGTATGGGATTTTTTTCTCAAACTAAACAAATCCTTATTAAAGCAGGAAAAAAAATCTTGGGCTGGGATTTTAGCTCATTGGTGCTGTGCCTGCTTGTCAAGCACAAGGGCCTGAGTTTGATCCCCTGAACAACAACAAAAAATCTAAATTTAGGCCTGGGAGAGTATAACTCAATGGCAGAGAGCTTGTCTAGCATGTATGAGGCCCTGGATTTGATCTCCAGCGCTACACACACACATACACACACCATCTAAATTAAAAAATTTTTTTTCAGTACTGGGGATTGAACTCAGCAGTTTTTTTTTTTTTTTTTTGGTATGAGGGATTGAACTCAGGATCTTGTGCTTGCAAGGCAGGTGGCAGAACCACTGAGCTAAAACTCTGGCCCTCAGAGCCTTTTGATTGAGCTATATCCCCATTTCTCTTTATTTTAAGGCAGGGCCTATTAAATCCTTAAATTACCCAGGCTGGGCTCAAATTTGCCATTCTCCTGCCTCAGCCTCCCAAATGCACTGCCACACACAGCTTCTAATTTTTAAAAAACTTATAAACTCCTGGCATAGACTTAGTTGCTCATGAAAATATTTTTTATTCTGGCTTCTCCCTGCTCCAGGGTCCCACCATGAGAAGGGCTTGATTACTAATTGTGGTTGGGATGGGGCAACAAGGCCCACCTCCGTGCAACCCCACACCATCTGCCAGGAGAGACCCAAGAGTGGTGGGGGTGGGGCTGCCCAAGGTGGCCAGCTCCTCCATGGCTGAGGTCACAGTGGAGCAAGAGGACCGCTAATGAACTTCTAATGAAGTTCGGGTGCTGCAGACCACAGCCATCACCTCCAGAATGTTCTGAGGGTGATTTCAACAATGATTCTCAGCCAAGCGTGATGGTGCAGGCCTGAGACTCCAGCACTACGGAGGCTGAAGCAGAAGGATCACTCCAAGTTTGAGGCCATCCTGGGCTACAGAGTGAGTTCAAGGCCAGTGTGTCTCAAAAAAATCAAACCAAGGCTGGGGATTTAGCTCAGGGGTGCCGACACCTGCCTTGCAAACTTACTGAGTTTGATCCCCGGTACCAAAAAATAAAAAGCAAAACAAAAAAACAAAACAAAACAAAGAATCTCAGACCAGGGCAAGGTCTTTACCAGTCAGAAAGTATAGACAATGTCATGTGCTTTCCTTTTCTATTTGTTTCTTGTTTCGGTGCTGGGGATAGAATCCAAGGTCTCCTGCAGGCCAGGCAAATGCTCAACCATTGAGCCACACCCAAGATCTGTAGCATGTTTCTCACAAAGTTTATTTGCAAAGAATAGATTCTGAAATCGATTCCTTCAAATGTCTTGCTTTAACATGATCTTTCCTTATGAAATGGTGATGATGCCAGCTATTTTTTTTGGGGGGGGTGTTTGGGCTATCAAACTTGGGACCTTTCTCTTGCAAGGCAGGTGGCGGAACCACTGAGTTAAATCCCTGGCCCAGATGGCAGCTATTTTATCCTTAGGAAAATCTGCAATTGTCTGTCATTCTCTATTAATCAAACAACTTAATGGTGTTTAGATTCCTAGGGCTTGGGGCTATCATGATTTTTCTTGGCCTCTGGGACACAGGGCCCAGGCCCCGCCTTCTCACCTCCCCCCACTTCCTGTCTCCTCTACCCCAGTTTGGAATGAACGCGCTTCTCCTGTCTGCCTGGTTCGGTCACTTGCAGGTCCTCCAGATCCTGGTTAATTCCGGGGCCAAGATCCACTGTGAGAACAAGGTAAGGAATCAGCCGGAAGTCCTGGCCCCTCCGTTCCCCCTGTCCCGAATGCACAGGTCTGTACCACTGTACCCTGCTCCTGCTCCCCACCTCTGTCTCTGCCCTCTGACTTACCTGCCCTCTGAGAACCCTTGTCAACCCTGCGGTGCTAAGCCCCGTGATACTGCCTTTCCCTCTGCTTCCCTGGGCTGGGACAGCAGCAGGACACCCTGTGTGTACAGCTCTGCCATGTTGGGACGCTGCCCAGCTCTCCATCCAGCCTTCTGGTTAACAAAAGAGAAATCCGCATAATGCCCAGTAGGTCTCCTGTGTCCGCCTGCCAGGCTTTGCTCCCACTCCCTGCTCAGTGTGATAGGGTACAAGAGGCAAGACTCCATTTACCAACCCTAGTACACTGAGTTACTGTATCATTCCGAGCCTCATTTTCCTGTAAATGGGGTACTCATAACTGCCTCAGGGCACTGGGAGAATGCGGTGCTGTGTGTAGTGTCTGGGCTGAGCGCTGGTGCCTTAGGGAGCCTGGTATCCCCTGCTGTTCAGTGGGGAGCGTGCAGTCTGAGTGAGTAGGCACTAGCAAGTCACAGTGCCTGGGACGCTTCCACTGGTGTCTTTTTTTGGGGGGTGCTGTTCTGAGACAGACTCTCACTATGTTGTTCAGGCTGGCCTGGAACTTCCTACGTAGCCAGGCTAGCTAACTATGGTGATCCTCCTGCCTCAGCCTCCTGAGTGCTGGGATGATAGGTATGCACCATGTCTTGTCCTATAAAGTTTTAAAATTACTTTTTAATTTATAAAATACTTTCCCTACAGGCAATCTTCAAGTCCCTGCTGAGGCAGTCAGGATTATTGTCCTAGTTGGACCTGGGCAGAGAGCGAGGCTCAGCGAGGAGAAGGCACCGGGCCCAAGGGCACAGAGCGGAGGGGTGGGACGGAGCTGGGCTTTTTATCTTGGCCCGGTCCTCCTGTGCAGTGTTGTGTGTGGAGCGTGGCCTGGGGGAGGGAGTGTGTCCATGACAGGGGCCTCCCTTCGTAAACCGCAGGGGCCCCCACCCTGGGCTTGTTTCCAGGACGGTCTGGCCTTACTGCACTGCGCAGCCCTGAGAGGCCACATGCCTGTGCTGGCGTTCACGATGGAAGACCTGGAAGGTGTGGCCCTGGACCACGGAGACAAAGTGAGGCTTCCCCCTTGGCTGGGCCCTGGGCCACTCGCGCATGCCTGGAGGGTATCCTCTGGTTGCGCATGCGCAGACTGACTGTCTGGAGGGCGAGGTTATGGCACAGACGGGGATGAAAGCCCTGCAAGATCAAAGTGCCTGCGAGAAGACCTGACTGAGGACCAGCCAGGTTGGAGAAGGAGCATTGCTTTCTGCCTCTTGGGAAGTGGCATGTGGTGAAGAAACTGGATTTGGGGATCAGACAGGGCTGGGAGCACCGCTGGAGCCTGGGGTGTGGGGAAGGGCTCTGTGGCTGGGAATCAGTCTGCGGGGAAGGCCAGAGGGGTTTGATACCCTCATGGAGATGTTCATCCCCACCTCAGAAACTCTGTCAATCAGGAGGCAGCGAGTAAGGGCACCCTCCAAATGGCTGTTTTGGGAAGTAGAGTCTGGGCTTTCCAGCAGCAGGGTGTTTGGGAAGAGGGCAACGTGGGGAGAGTGTCTGAGGCTGGTGAGCCCATGGCTGTGGAGAAACGGACTGGGAGGGCAGGGCGTGTGCCACTGGTAGGGCAAGGAGGGCTTACTGGCCTTCACTTCCTGGCCAGCTGGGCAGGACGGCATTTCACAGGGCTGCTGAGCATGGACATTTGGAGGCTGTGGACTTCCTCGTGGGCTCAGGCTGTGACCACAGTGTCAAAGACAAGGTACTGAGACCGGGAGGCTCTGCCCTCCTGACTAGGATGCAGAAATCCTTGCCACTTTTATGGCACTGCTATCTTGCTTGTGCCTACTTCTGACTGCAGCTGTGCTGGAGGGGCGGGGGCCTGACCAGGGGTATGTGATGTTCCCAACAGGGGCTGTAGCTGATAGCACGGAGACGTCCAAGATGTAGGTTTTCTACACAGGAAATCCATACCATGAGCCTAGGAAAGACCTGGACTGGATCAACTTGTGGCGATCCTCCTGCCTCAGCCTCCTGAGTGCTGGGATGACAGGTGTGCCACCACCATGCCTGGCAAAGAAAGGTGTATTTTGGCTCATGGTTAGGAGGTTTCAGTCCATGGGAAGCTGGCCCCACTGCTTTTAGGTCCGTGGTGAGGCACAGGATGGCAGAAGGGAATGGGGAAGGAGGGCAGCTTACCCCATGCAAGAATCCCCTTCTTGGGCATGTCATCCTTCTATGAGGTCCCACTGTCTAGGTTTCATCACCTCCCATCAGCCCATTAGCTTATGAACCCACTGATGGGTTGGTCCTCATGAGCCAGTCATGCCCCTGAAGTTCCCAACATGGAATGTTGCTGCTCTGGTGACCAAGCCTAAAGGCACATGAGCCTTTTGGGGGGCATTTTTCTTCCATTAAATTTATTGGTACATTTTAGGTATACAACACAGTTACATTAATTATTGGGATCTTGTACCTTTACATGACAGGTCTTGGTTCTTGTTTTTTTTCCATACCCTTCCCCTCCCTTCACCCCTTGTACTCTTCTGTATTTACAAAGGCTTTATTTCCATTTTTTCCTTTTCTAATATTTTTCTTTTCCCTTCTTTCCTTTCCCCTACCCCTTCCACTTCCCCTACTCCTTTAGACCTTTTCTTCCTATTTCACATAATCAGTTATACATATCGATCCTTATTTACACTTTTAGTTTTTCATACCAGAGAAACTATTCTGTATTTACATATGTGTGTGTCCTCTTTATTTCACTTAAGAGTATGGCCTCAATGTGCATCCACTTAGCTATAATGTCTCTAGTTTCTCATTCTTTATGGCTGAGTAGTACGCCATTTAATAAAAATACCACATCTTCTTTATTCAGTCTCCAGTTGATGGGAAATTGGGCTGTATCCAAGTTTTAGCTATTACAAACTGTGCCACTATAAACATGGTTGAGCATATATCACTGTGGTAGGATTCTTTTAAATCTTTTGGGAAAATACTCAGCAGAGGAATAGCTGGGTCAAATGGAACCTCTAATCTTAGTTGTTTGAGGTATCTCCATACTGATTTCCACAGTGGTTGCACCAGTCTGCACTCCCTCCAACAACGGAGAAGGGTTCCTATCTCCCCACAGTTGGAGGACATTTTAGATCTGAGCACACCGGGAAGATCTGGGGTCCCTGAGGAGGGACACTTTGGGAGGGCACGTGGAAAGAAGGGTCTGTTTTCTTTCGTTTGTTTTTTTCTTTTATTGAGTTTATTGGTACATTTTAGGTATACAGTACAGTTACATTCATCATTGGGATCTTGTACCTTTACATGACAGGTCTTGGTTCTCATTTTTTCCCTTGTCCCTGCCCTACCTTCACTCCCTCCCCCCTCCCCATTTACAAACACTTCGTTTCCATTTTTTCATTTTCTCATATTTTTCCCCTTATTACCTTTCCCCTACCCTTCCCACTTTCCCTACACCTTTAGCCCTTTTCTTCCCATTTCACAATGTCAGTTATCTCATCAGGCTGTCATGTACTATTATAGTTTATTCACACCAGAGAAACTATTCGGTATTTACACATGAGGTCTGTTTTATTTTGAAAGTAACTTGTCTTTCTTGCAGTATGAGGAAAGAGGGACCTGGGCTTACCTTGGAAGAGCTGCTTGTAGTTTTGGGAACAGTGCTTGGGGGCAGGGTGGTGTTGCCCAGTGTGCAAGGTGCTGTTTGTCACTGGATTGCTCTGTGAGCCCGGACATGTCATTTTTGCTCCCTGGGCCCCAGCTTTATGGTCTATAAAATGAGAGTAAGGCCAGTGTGGTCTGAGAGGCTCTGTGCTTCTGGGGCTCCTGGTCTGCTGGCTCTGAGGCGTGACCCTCCTGCAGGAGGGGAACACAGCGCTTCATCTCGCTGCTGGCCGGGGCCACATGGCTGTGCTGCAGAGACTCGTGGACATCGGGCTGGACCTGGAGGAGCAGAATGTGGTGAGTCGACAGCCTCCGGGGGAGCTCCTTGCCTTTGAGGAACCCCACCTGTGGAGTGGTCTGGTTTTCCCTGGCTGAGGTCTTGGAGCTGGGATGTTGAGGTTGTGGTCTCAGCCTGATGCCTGTAGGCAAAGATCACGAGCAACCAGAACTTGAGCTGAGTGGCTGCAGGGTGCAGGACGAATGTCCCACCGGGGAGGGTGTGAGGGCCCAGGTCAGCCAGGGAGTAGAGGAGAGCGGAGCTGGGAGGACAGGAGAGCATGGAGAGCCAGGGCAGGAGCTTGGCACACAGGGGTGCCCTCACCTGTCTCTTCTCACACCTTTCCCATGTGTTTCAGGAAGGCCTCACGGCCCTGCATGTGGCTGCTGAGGGAACCCACCCAGATTGCGTGCAGTGCCTGCTTGAGGCGGGGAGCTGTGTGAATGCCCTTACCCAGGTAGGCACACCTCCCGGGGCACATGTCTGTCCAGGCTGCGGAGCCGTGGCTCAAAGAAGCAGCCACAGTGGCTACTGAGCATTCCTGAGCAGAGCCTTTGAGGCTGCAGAACCACACTTTGTGTGGGCTTCTGCACTGCTGAGCTCTGTGATCTTAGGCACGTTGCTTACCCTCTCTGAGCCTTGTTTCCCAACTATAAAGTGGGATAATGTATGCTCGCTTTTTCACATTGCTATGGGGATTAAATACCCTGCACAGTGTTGCACATAGTTGGGAGTCAGCACCTGTTTGCTTATCCCTCCTCCCCCGTAGTTCTAGCTGATCTGGAACTCACCCTCCAGAGTGCTAGGTCATAGGCTGCATCCCACACATGGCTCCATGTGGTTTTTTAGTTTTTTGGTATATGTTTGCAATACATGTTCCTGTCTTTTTATTATCGGGCTCTTAGAAGTTCACAAAGCCCCTCTTAACTGTTACCTTGGGAGATGTCACCTCATTTTGTAGATGAGGAAACTGAAGCTTAGAAGGCTTTTCTCATAACTAGGAATAAGCGAAGCTGAGTCTCAAATTCCTCATCTCTGGACTCCAGAGCTTCTTCCCACAGACAGGAGTGTTCCCAGACACTGGGACAGGATAGGGCAGCTGCACCCAGAAAGGGCTTTTACTACTTCATCTTTTGGCAGAGAAGTAGAGGGGCAAGCGAGAGGGGCAGAACAGACAAAATGAAGCTAGGAGTGATGGGGCAGGTCTGTGGCCCCAGTGCTCTGGGAGGCTGAGGCAGGAGGACTGCAAGTTGTAGCTCAGCCTGGGCAATTTAGTAACTTAGTGAGACCCTGTCTGAAAATAAATAAATTAATTGATTAATTAAAAAAAAAAGACTGGGGAGATAGCTGTTTGTGAAGGCCCTGTGTTTGATCCCCCATTACTGGAAGAAAGGGAGGAAGGGAAGAAAAAAAAGAAAGAGGCAAAACATGAAGGTGGCTTTGCTTTTTAACAATCACTCTCATGATAAATAACCCAGGCCTGTGAGGACGATCTCTTAGCCACCTATGGGCCCCCACCTCCCAAGGCCACACAGCAGCAATTAAATTCCAATGTGAGCTTTGCAGGGGGGCGGGCAGCCCAAACCAGAGCCCCAGAAATGTGAATAGTGCTGTGTAAGTCACAAAGCTTGTGGTCTGCAGAACTTCACTGGTGGTATGGGCACTACCACTCCAGGAGGCTGTAGGGGTCACCAAGGTCCGGAGAGGGGCAGGAGTGCCCAGCTCATGCCCTTGCATTGGTGTGGCATTGCTCTTGGGGGTGAGGCTTTTTGCTGTGCCCAGCCCTGTATGGGTCCCTCACAGGAACAGTTGGGAGATGTGGGGTGTGTTTGGGTGGCCCTGGTGGGGCTGCAGCAGTGCACTTCACTGGGCCTCATGCTGGAGCTGACACCTCAGAGTGTTATGCAGTGGGGTCTCCAAGGAGGGCACAAGTCCTATGTGACTGCATTTCCCCTTGGCAGGTGGACCGACTGAGAGATGGGACTTTGGACTAGTGACTAACTATCCATCATCTTGGGTTCCTCATAATTGTCCTGCTTTAAAATGGAAAGTCTCACCTGGGTGTGGTGGCATATGCCTGTAACCCTGGCACTTGGGAGACTGAGGCAGGAGGATTGTTGAGGCCAGCCTGGGCTACATAGTAAGTTCAAGGCCAGCCTGAGCAGCATAGCAAGACTCTGTCTCTAAAAACCACCATCAACAACAGAAAAGAAATCTTATGTTTCAGTGATCCCTAGCCTGGCACACTGGGACCACTGGTCATCCCTGGGTCCAGGGTGGGTCCCCTGAAGCAGAGCACTTGGATGTCACCCCCATCAAGCCCTAGTCTTCAGCCTGCAGCCGCTGCCTGCCCTCACTGATGCCTGCCCTACCTGCGCAGGGTGCCAGCTGGCATGTGTCTGTGGGCCTGGCCAGTCTGAGTTACCCTCCTTTCTGAAACCCTCTCCTCATTCTATACTCTGCTGCTTGCCTGCCAGGGAGGTGGCAGATTGTGGTCTACACCCCAGTCTGACATGAGCTGAGGAAAAGGCTGGGGTCACGGTGGGCCCCAGGCCTGGGAAGGTCATGATTTTCCCAGCCCCAGGGCCTCCTGAGGAGCCCACAGTGGCGGGACAGCCCACGGGTCCCTGTGACCTTGCACTTGTGTCTCTTTTCTGCTAGAAGAAGATGAGCTGCCTCCACTACGCTGCCCTCAGGGGCTCTGAGGCTGTGTGCCAGGCCCTCATCCACGCAGGAGGCTGCACCAATGTGGCTGACTACGTAAGTGCAGTGCCCGGACTGCAGGATGCCCCTCGCAGGGCTCCCAGCACTTTGGGTCCCTGGGATGGGGTGGGGCCAGGACGGGGAACTGGTGGCACTCAGGGGAGTCAGAGCCAGGCTTGCACTCTCTCCCAGCTGAGTTACCTGCATGTTCTCCGCTCATTTAGGTAGCAGATCTTGGCAGTAATCTTTTGCATAACCAGTCTGGCCCCTTAGTTGTTAATTTTTTCCAATTAGGATACATTGGAAAGCTGCTTTGACCTCCCTGCCTTGTGTAGGAATTACAGAAATTATTATTCTTTCCATTATAGAAATTAAGACATGTCTTTTTTTTTTTTTTTTTTTTTTTTT